TTTGTTTCTCCTAAATTCACCCATTTCTTTCTCTTACTTTTAGCAACCACACCTGTATGAATCTGAAACCAAAAGTTTATGCTCCATGAAACTGAAACAAGTTACTAAAATCAGAAGGCAGCATACACATTTCTCAAGGATTTATTGAGAAAACAGATACTAAATGGCTTTGGAAAGTTTTTTTAAGAAAATGCAAAGATAGAGGTGCCTAGGTGGTTCAGTCAGGTAAGCATCTGCCTTTGTCTGAGGTCATGATTCCAGGGTCCTGGGGATCAAGCCCTGCTTCAGGCTCCCTGCTCAATAAGGAGTCTGCTTCTCCCTCTTCCTCTGCCGCACCCGCCCAACCCCGACCCGGGCCCGTGCACTCTCTCTCAAATAAATAAATAAAACCTTAAAAAAACAAAAAAAGAAAAAGTACAAAAAGATCAACTGCAGCATCAGAACCAACATTTCCACAAACTAAAAATTTTTTCAACATATGACACTGTAACTAAACTAAAATCAATCAAATGTCAACATCAAGGTATGTTTCACCTGTGAAGAAATTCTATGTACCCACTACTGATCACTTTTTTTTTTTTTAAATTCACTAGGCATAACAGGAACTATAAAAAGGCATCTGACATTAGGCCTTACCACCTAAGGGACCATGGAAATCCTAAGAGACCCAATAAAAATACAACTGTCCCAGAACTGTTTATCTCCAGTGTCACAGACACTTGTTTTCTAGCTCACATCCACCTACACCACCTCCTACACCCAAGAGTTCACACACACGCAGTAAAACGATAAAGGCTTCAGTATTTTTTAAATGTCCGTTATAGTATTAAAATATACAGTATTTTCTAGATATGAAAAGATGTATCATTAACATGATTAATCTAACAAACATTATTTACTCTAATTACATACCACTTTTTATATTCTTCATAAGTCTAAGAGACAGAAAGTTTTTAAATTGAAGAAAGCCTATCCTTCAACATGGCAAACCAGCTTTCAGGCAAGATGGCCCTATGTGAAATGAAATAAGAGGCCAAATTCTTTTTGCTGCCTGTTCTCGGCAACATACTATAAAATATAAACCAAATATTGAATTTATGAGAATATTTAAACTTAGAGCAACATGCAATTCTAAAATAATGAGAGGCAAGAGTTGTCACAAGGACAGACTTTCACAACCTGAGAGACACTGAAACTCTCACAACTTGTTATTCTTTAATATATATACTCAAAAAATACTGCATGTTATGAGGTTCTAAAGCTAGAACATAATCACAAAAGAAAAAAAAATCTAAACCTAGGCTAATAGGTTAAAGGATTGTTTTTAAATTAAGTATAAATTGCTTTTAAATTGCAGTTTAAGCTAATTTTCCAGTACAATTCAAGCCCAGGAGTCCTTACTTTGGGTAAGAGTAGAGGGAATGAAAATGTCCAGAAATTCTATGCAAAATGTCCAGAAATTCTATGCAAAATGTCCATGTATTCAGTTTCCTGCAGAGACAGGCACAGGTTTCATTAGATTACTAAAGGGGTCCATGGCTCATGAAGGAATTACCACTTGCCACTCAGAAACTAATACACTGCTAGTCCCATCACTTTTCTAACTTCAGTAAATCATGAAAGCAATTAAAAAAAAAAAAATCCAGAGTTAACTTGGGTTCTGAAAAATCATTTTTAAAACAATGTCAAAGGAAGTTTTATAAAAGCCACTTTAGTGAATTTAATGTTTCTCGGGCTAAGTTCAACACTCTTCAAGGAACAGATTTCTTAGATTAAGAATTCATTTTACAGTGAAATCTTGCCGTTTCCAACAACCTGGATGGATCTAAAAAGTATATGATTTCCCACCTATGTGGAATTTAAGAAACAAAGTAAAGAAAGAGACAGAGACAAACCAAAAAACAGACTCTTAACTACAGAGAGCAAATGGATGGCTACCAGAGGGGAGGTGGGTGGGGAGGGATGGGTAAAATAGGTGATGGGGATTAAGAGTACATTTATCACAGTGAACACCGAGTAATGTATAGAATTGTTGAATCACTGTATTATACACCTGAAACTAATATGACACTGTATGTTAACTATACTAGAATTAGAATTCTTTAAAAAAATTCATTTTACAGTAATGGAAAAGTAGAGGGTTTTATATATCCCAGATACAAAAAATAAATACATTTTTAAGACACAAAAATACCAAAGAAGAGCAGAGATCATCTTTTGTCTTTACCAAACATCATAGCCACAACAATTCATATTATCACACAGAGTGACACTGCTTTTCTGTATAATAGACAATTTCCTCCATAACTCCTTTTCTCCTGGACTTCCCAGATACAATCTGATATGTTTTCATCAACTAAAATGATACAATTAACTACATTTCTTTAAAATAACTTTCTTTTAAAATATCTTAACACTTCCCAACTCCTGCTATGAGACGTTTTACCTTGATACCAAAACCAGCAAGACACATAAAAAAAGTTAACTATAGACTTGCATCTCTTATGAATAAAGAAGCAGAAGTCCTCAACAAAATACTAGTAAACAAAACCTAGCACTAAGTAAAAAGTATTACATACCATGATCAAGTGAGATTTATCTCAGTAACGCATGAGTGGTTTAATGTTTGAAAATCAATTAATATAACACACCATATCAGCAAAATAAAAAACAAAAGTCTCATGATTATCTCAATAGATGAACAGAAACATGGACAAAATTCAACCTTCACAGTGTAAAAAAAAAAAATTCACCCAAAAAACTATCCCATTTGATAAAGGATATCTATGGAAACCTCACAGCTAACAGCATACTTAATTAGTGAAACACTAAATGCCTTCTCCCTGAGATCAGAAAAAAGGTAAGGATGTGCACTCCCGCCACTCCTATTCTACACTGTACTAGAGCTTCTAGCCTGATCAATTAGGGCAAGAAAAATGAAATAGAAGGCATAGAGAATGAAAAGAAATAAGTATAACTACCTCTATTTGCAGGGGATATGATCTCGTGTATAGAAAATCCTAAGGAATCCACTAAACAGCTTTAGAACTGATTGATTAATGAGTTCTGCAAAGTTGCAGGATACAAGATCAATATATGAAAATGAATTCATTTCTATAAGTAGCAATGAACTGAAAATGAAATTTTTAAAAATTTCCATTTAGAACAGCACCAAAAAGAATAAATAAGAATAAATTAGCAAGAGGAGTATAAAACTTATACTCTGAAACGACAAAACACTGTTGAAAAAAATTCAATAATACCTAAGTAAATGGAAAAATATCACCTATTTATAGATCGGAAAATTTAGTATCTTTAAGATAGCAACAGTCTCCTAATTGATTTACAGATTCAAAATCTAAGTTGCCTTTTTTATATAAATTGACAAGCTCATTCTAAAATTCACAAGAAAATACAAGAGACCTGGACTAGGCAAAACAATCTTGACAGCGAAGAACAAAGTTGGAAGATTTGCACTTACTTACTGATTTCAAAACTTACCACAAAGCTGCAATAATCAAGACTGTGTGGTACTGGCACAAGGACAGACATGGAGATCAACAGAATAGAACTGAGAAATGGACTACCTATCTTGTCATTGCTTTCCAATTTTCCTCCATTATAATCAGACACCAAATGATCTGTACAACACTGTCTCTACACAACACTAAGTTGAAATTCACTTTGGTGTACTACATTTTTATTAATGTTCCAAGTATGCTAGAAAAAAATGAATAATCTTCAACTGTTAGGTGCAGAGCTCCATACATATCCATTAGCCCAATCTGTCATTTTCTTGTTCACATCTTCTATGGTCTCAATAAATGTTTCTGCCTGCCTGGTCTTAAGACTTACAGATAGAAGTTTATCTCCAACAAAGATTATAGTTTTGGTGGGTGGGGGGATGGGTGAAATAGGTGATGGGGATTAAAGGGTACATTTATCATGGTGAAAGAAAAATTAAATTTTAAAAATTACATTTCTATTCATTTCTCCTTGTACTTCTGGCAATCTCTCCTTTATAATTTGAGACTATTTTAGTCCAGGTTCAGTTTTATTACATGTCCCAAGAGCATTGTTCCTTGTATCACTGTACAATAGTTTCTCTGTTTTTTGGCTTTCAGTGTTTTTTTGCCTGATACTGACATTACTCTATCAGCTCTTTTCCAGTTTGTATTTCTGTATCAGCTTGGGTTTATCAGACAAGTGGAACCACTATATGTGATAAGAATAAAGAGTTATTATAGATGTGAACAGTAATTGTGGGAGCTAATTAAGCAGGTTATGTAGAACGGTTGATTCTGCATCTAGTGTTAGGACAGAAATCAGAGGGCAGGCGATGGGCAAGGATGAAATGATGTGAAATGGTGAAAAGCAAGGATAAACTGATCCTCTGTTTTGCACCAACCTCAATGACATGGGTGACCTGTAGTATAAGCTAGCATTCTTCACAGCAGAGCCCACATATCTAAGAATTTAGAACAGCTGAAGGAGATGATCCAGTAGGAAGTGGAGAGGCTGTAGACCAGAGATGACATGTACGAACTGTGCCTGACTCCAACACCAATCCTATAAGCATCAGCCCAATGACTGCTTCACTTCTACCTCACAAATGTTGTACCAGTTTCTCTTGTAGCCAGCATAACCTGGAACCATCCTGGAAAGGGAGTTCTAGGAAATGGAGCTCCAGCTCAGTTATGTTGACACAAAACAAAGCCACCACAATGTGCATGGGTATCTATTTCCATCTCCTTAATTTTCTTTCTGTAAAATAATGTTTTAAGTATGTCTCTTGAAAATAGCACATTGCTGGATTTTTCTTTCATCCTATCTAGACTCTATCTTTTAACTATCATGTTTAATCCATTTACATTTATTGGTGTTTATGACTTTCATAACTTAAAAGAATTGTCTTTTAAAAATGAAATAATCATCTGTACCAGAGATATATGCATGATTTGCACTCCTTAAATATTTTATATGCATAACTTGTTACTTACCACTTCTCCAGCAGAGGCAGCCAACATATGCTTCACAGGCATTAAATATGAAGATGAATCAGTGTGCCACAACCATTTCACATATTCATAGGTGATAAAAAAAGCAGCAGCTGAAATTTAAAACAAACCAGTCTTTTACAAAGTTTAAATATATATTCAAACTGTTTAGAAATGTTTCTAAAAAAAATTTACAACTCTATTAAATTGTGAGGTAAGAGATAAACATAATAGTTGAACACATACTCTTCCTCCCTGCCCCACTCCTGTAGAATTTACAGAGTCCATGTTATATGCCCAAACCTGGACTTATAAAAATGCAAAAGACAGGATCCCAGCCCTGAGGGAGGCTAACAGCTAACCTAACATTCACCATTTTGTATTAATAAGTCACTTGACATTTTTTAGTAAACATTCTAGAATAAGATATGAATTTCTGTGATCCAAATTATCTTTACATACAATAAAACAATCTGCTACACTGATTCATAGACAGGTTAAAACTGAAAACATATGCTTTAAATAAAACATCTATTTGATAATGTTTTATTATTGTTCACTCAAAATAACTATGGCTACTTTTTACTATATCATGTCACCTTTACATCAAGGAAATAATCAACTATCTAATTACAACTGGAAATCAAAATCTCAAAAAAGCTACCCCTATCACCATGAACTAATCTTAACTGCCCAAAAGGGCTTTTAAAACCGGCCATGTACTGTTAATCAAAAGATGTTTATCACTTCCATAAAAGATAAGGCATGAAAGATAAATGAATGACAAATTCATCTTTTGAAGGACATTTGAAAATCACATTAAAGTCTAAAACACTCAGAAAAAGAGCTTCATAGTGAAAATCAGTGTTCAACAGTTAAAGTCAACAAGGTTTTCAACTCTCCTCAGGCTGCTAACAAATAAAAACACCGGGCCAAATAAGGACTCTTGTCCCTGAAGGAGTAATGACCAGTGCAAACAGTTTTACATAACATAGGTCCCTATTCCCACAGTGGTTCTCAATAAGGCTTTCCCTACTTCAGCTCACTCACTAAATGTACAGCTAGAATATCCATAACCGAATTCAGCAGTAAGTTCCACCTGCCACACATTTCACCCTCCCACCCCATCCCCAGGGAAGGGAGAAAGTGCTACAAGTTTCTAGGTTTTCCTGGTTAACCACCTCAACCTACTCAGACTATATTGCTACTTTTGTGACAGACAAAATCTTTTAGAAATGTAAATCCTAGGGGCACCTGGGTGCATCTGACTCGATCTCAGCTCAGGTCTTGATCTCAAGGTCAAGAGTTCAAGCCCCACTTTGTGCTCCAATCTGGGTGTGGAGCCTACTTAAAAAAAAAAAAAAAATGAAATGTAAATCCCCAAATTCTCCAAGGTGACACCCAAGAAAACGCCACTAATTGGAAATGATGTCACAAGGTTCCAAGTGAGGCTCTGGACAAGTTACAACAAAGAACAGGAATTGGGCTGATACCTACCATCTCTCTAGCTCTTTATTATTATTTTTTTAAAGATTTTATTTATTTGACAGAGAGAGAAAGCACAAGCCAGGTGGAGCTGCAGGCAGAGGGAGAGGGAGAAGAAGGCTCCCAGCAGAGCAGAGAGACTGATGCAGGGCTCGATCCCAGGACCCTGGGATTATGACCCAAGCCAAAGGCAGATGCTTAACCGACGGAGCCACCCAGGCGCCCCTCTTCTAGTTCTTTAAAAACAAAATCCTATGCTTTTTCTACATTCCCTTCTAAATAAAGATCCTGAATAGGGGTCTGCTGTCTCCTCTTTCAACCCTTAGTCCCCTTCTTCCCCAACTCTTCACCCCTGCAGAATACTGCAGTTTCCCCCTTATCCACAGGGTGTTTGTTCAAGAGCCCCAGAGCATGACTGAAATGATGGATAGTACCAGACCCTATATATACTACATTTTTTCCTATACATACATATCTGTGCTAAAGTTTAATTTCTCAATTAGGCAAAGTAAGAGATGAACAACAATAATAAAATAGAACTATAACAGTACACTGTAATAAAATTATGTGAATGTGGTCTCTCTCTCAAAAATACCTATACTGTACTCACCCTTTTCCTTGTGATAATGTGAGATGATAAAATGCCTATGTGATGAGATACAGTAAGATGAATGATGTAGGCATGTGACGTAGCATTAGGCTACTACTGACCTTCTGCTGATGGATTAGAAGGAGCAACATCTGCTTCTGGACCATGGTTCACCATGGGTAACTGAACCACTGCAAGCAAAACTACGGATAAGGGGGGACCACTGTATGTTCTCAGAAAAGTCTACAGCCACTGAATGTTACATTGGTGTACTACAGTTGGACTAGAACTTTAACAAACAGTAAAAGAAAAAAAAGGTGCCACACAGAAAACTCCTATTCACCAAAAATTCACAGAAAAACAAAAAGGCCATTTCTGAACCACAGGCACTTTGACTGACTACCCAGCATCACCCATCCACTGATGTTCTGTGGATGGCGAAAAAACAGAGTAAGTATGGCAAGAAAAACATTTTCTCACACATGCAAAAGTTCAAAACCCACATGTACGTAAAGTCCTGCTGGCAAGAATCTAAAATAGTCCTGTGAGCCTAAACACACCATGTTCTCCATAGACTACTACTAATACTACTGTCTACCAACACTGATTCCTCGCAATTTGTAAGAGAAAAAGAACTTTTAGAACAATGAAAGAAATACCATAAGATTTCTTTTTTTGGGGGGGGCGCCTGGGTGGCTCAGTTGGTTAAACAACTGCCTTCAGCTCAGGTCATGATACCGGAGTCCTGGGATCGAGTCCCACATCAGGCTCCCAGCTCAGCGGGGAGCCTGCTTCTCCCTCTGACCCTCTCCCCTCTCGTGCTGTTTCTCTCTCTCTTGCTCTCTAATAAAAAAAAAAAGATTTCTTTTTTTTTTTTTTAACTCCAATGCCCAGGCCACACCTCAGACCAATGAAATCACATCTTTGAAAGCAGGACACAGGCATTGGTACTTTTTTAACCTCGTCAGGTGATTGCACCGTGGTCAAATTTAGGAATGGCTGCATCTCTCCCCCATAGAGAACTACACCTGACAGGAAGTGGGGGCTCAATAATAATTGTTACAACCAATTACTAAAAGTATAAAACACATGAAAATTGAAGGATAGCCTCAAAGACAGTTTGCCGTTCTAAGGGCTACTGGGGGAGGGAGAAGAAGAAAGAGAGAACCGAAGGATCAAAACACTATTTTCTCCCTGCACTACCAATCTTTATGTGAATACTATGCTCCGGATGAACACAAATGAACATGAAAGAATTTCTCATGAATTATTCTGAGAAAAAACTCCAGAGTTTAAGAATCTCCTAGAGCAGAGGTTCTAAAATTATGGGTGTGTGTGTGTGTGTGTGTGTGTGTGGTGGTGGTTTTGTTCGCTTGGTTTGCTATTAAGTGCCACTGAAAGCATCAGTAAACAAAATGAGGTAAGTATCTGAAAAAAAGTACACCAAAAAGTGGATTAAATAAAAAGATTATACTGATTACAAAATAAGAGGACCATAAATCACATAATGTGACTCCAAACCTACAACAAAAGCAAGACACTCAAAGGAGAGTATACAGGAGGAGGTTAGTGGGAGTTGGATGCATCATCTAAGAGCAATTTAGCTAAGACAGAAAAGGTTTAAGGCCTCTCAGGTTCATGCGCTCCAAAAGAATCTCCAAGGCAGCAGTTATTAAACTCAGCGTCACACTGGAATCACCTAGGAAGCAACTAAACCCCCCGATACCCAGGCAAAGCCAGACCAATTAAACTTATGGAGGGGACACAGGCATCAGTATTTTTTAAAGCTTCCCAAGAGATTCCAATGTGTGGGCAAGAGTGAGAACCACTGCTCTGAGGTATAACAACCAATATTAGAGTAACATTTTCAAGATTCTAACTGGGAATTTTAACAAGAAAAACCATTTTAGAAAGACTGCTCGTATTCTATTACAAATATAGTGGAATGGGATCTCTAGCACTAGCTGATTCAAAAGCAGCAGGTTAATGAATAGAAAACAAATTCAAGAGATAAGCTACAACACATGAGCAATTCTACATGGGGTAACACCATATACCATGCTGACAATAAATCTCATTATCATGGTTTTCTAGCGGTGAGAATATCAATATAATTTTTACCATTAGGAAAGGATCCAACAGCAGCAGAAGGAACGCCAGCATAGATTCCACGAAAACCACCAGCCTTATTAAATCCTTGTGGACTCTGAAGCCTGGTTTTAATGGTATCCAGAGGAAATAATATCAAGTCGACAGCAACACCTGCTACCCCACCAGCCTTTAAAAAGAAAAGAAAAGGAAAGAAGGTTACAATCAAATAAGCTCTCTGCCATTTGGGGGTAAGTATAAGAAAAAGGTAATCTTTAAAGCATATTTCTCATACCTGTCAGTCCACAGCTTATCTGGCATAGTCAAAGGCTCTTCTATCTAAATTTATAGATTTTCCTGGGGAAATAACCATTGTTGTGCTATATTCTAAAATTGTAATTTTTTAAATAAATTTTTATTTTAAAAATTAATTTTAAGTTCATTTTTAATACTTCCACATGGCTTAAAAGTCAACAATCTCAGAAAGGTTAAGAGTTCAAAGTCTCTTTCCCTAGTCTAATAACTCAGGTAACCACTTCTGGTTGTTTACTGTATCCTTCTGAAGTTACTCTAGGCATATATAAGCAAATATGAATATGTACTTTATTTTCTTTTTTAAAAAAAGGTATATACAATATGCACTGTGTTGCACCTTGCTTTTATCACTAAATTTATCTTGCTGATCTTTCCATATCAGACCAAATGTTGTATTTTTATCTTTTCAACGAATGAGTAGTAAAACTGAAGTAAGACCGTTTGGGGGGGAGACTTCTATTTTGAAATAGGTAATGGTCCTTGAGAATCCAGATCTGTATTTTAAGATTCATATATCTAAGGATTCCTGTAGTATTCACTCTCCATTGTGTTTATTTAAAAATTCCTTGATAATTTTTAAATTAAGTAAAAAAAAAAAAAAATGGGGGGGGGATGAAAAGCTAAGTTCCCAGAGCATATTAAAACCTGGCCCCAGCTAGTCATCTCCCAAAAGACAACACGTTGCTTTGGAGAAGACGCATTTTAAAAAATACAGTAGAGCCTATGTAGAATATTTTTAAACTGGTTACAACTTAGGCAAAGCAAAAAAATTCAGGAAAAATTTTCAGAAAAATATGAACTCAAGAACAGTGTCAAAGAAAGCTCAATACACAAAGTCTAAAAGGCACCATTTAAAAATGTGAATCAAAACCAGTTGGGCGTGAGCAGACAGAAGAATCACAAAAAGACTCTCGATATGGTTGCTACATAGTAATTTTTAAAATGAATCATTAACTTTTCTCATCTTTTGGATTTTAAATATGAATATATTACCTATTCAAAAGGTAGAAATATATATATTAAAACTATATATTAAAAACTAAGATATAGAAAAAGAAAAATCAGCATTATTCAAACACACAGGCAAAGTTCAAAATGATGAGTTGTTTCCATCCTTTGGGTACACAAAATGCTCAGGTGGTACAAAGCTTAGTACATAGCAAACACACTGCTCTACTTAGCACTCACCATAAAAACATTTTAAGAGTTCATTGCAAAAATGAAATTACTCTGATGAGAAATCCAGTAATGAACTAGGAGAGGTAAATTATTAAAAATTCTTTTAATAGAAACAGGAAAGTACATTATCATAAATATTAATACCGTACTATATGATCAGCCTGAGACATGACAGAACCTCAAAGACCACGAAGGTCTACTCTGCAAATGAGCTAGAGATGTCACCAAAACAACCCAGAGATGTGCCAGAATTAAACCACAAGAGGCAGTAAAAGACTGACAACTGGGATTTCTTTCTGGAAATAAAGGCGGCCTTTTCTAAGTCACAAGAATATGTTCCTAAGTAATGTACAAAAGTAAAAAAAGAGCCAACTTTTTCCAACATTCTTAATGATTTTTAAAGGATTCTGTAAAAATCAGTACGTAAATAAAATATTACACCTGCCTCATCATTTTCTCAAAACACAAGGAAAACAAAAATCCCACTGGGAATGTCTAATAGGACTAGATTCTTTACAAACATGCTGCATTTCATTGTAATTTTCTCTTTAATCTTAGGAGAGGACTCAGAGAGATGCTTGCTATCTACTGCTAAATTTTAATCAATAAGTTAATTAGTCTTTTAATCTATTTGGCTACTTTGCATGCATTGATTCTCTAACCCTTCTTTCATCAGAATTCTTACCTTCAGAGAATAAAATAACCAGATTCAATCTGTTTATCTACTAAAACACAAATCAGAAGTTACTAATTGCTTTTGCAGATTTCAAACTTCTATAACTCAAATGTCCTTTAAATTCATGAGACTGAGGGGCGGAGCAAGATGGCGGAGGAGTAGGAGACCTGGATATTTTGTCTGGTCTCAGGAATTCAGCTGAATAGGGATCAAACCATTCTGGACACCTACGAACTCAACAGGAGATCGAAGAAGAGAGTAGCAACAACTCTCTGAACAGAGAAGCGACCACTTTCTGGAAGGTAGGACGTGCGGAGAAGTGAATCTGAGGCGATATTCGGGAGGATAGACGGCGGGGGAGGGGGCCTCCGTCGGCCGCTTCTGGCAAGTGCTAGGGCCGCGGAGCACAAACTCGGAACTTTTAGAAGTCGGCTCCGCTGAGGGACGTCGCTCCAGTGGCTAAGCGGCGGGTGGAACCCTTGGGGGACAGTGTAGTCTCAGGACCCTCGGGGTCACAGAAAGACCGGGGGTGCCTGAGTGCGGCAGAGCTCCCAGGTGTCAGAGCGGGGAAGCCGGCTGCAGAGACAGAGCCCCAAGGAGCCGGCTCTCAGCTCGAGGTTGCCATAAACTGTGATCCGCGGCCCAGTCGGGCCACCGCTCCTCCAGCAGGGACCCAACAAG